CTGAGAAATGTGGCTAACCCCTTCAAAACTGTTTCAATGTTGAGTCGCCATCTGAAACGAATTATTTTTTAAGTAAGTAGCAGAATGTACAGATATACAGTAACTCTTCCTCTTGCTCAACAAAGCCCAAAAGGGAAGTGCTCATGGACAAAGTTTTGTTCCTACACGCCCTGGCTCCTGAAACTAAACTCTTCCAGCTGAGTAACTGCGTGTCCCACTCACTACTTTGGGCTTAAATCCCTCGCCTCTCCTGGTGTCCTGGTGCTTTGTTAATCCAGATTTGATCCAGAAAGGAGACATATAAGGATTGACCAGTTCCTGTAGTCGTGGGAACAAATGCCCATGTAAGGAAATTGGCTCCAGCTATCTTATGTTCAAATCGGCCTCTTCTGTTTTTGGCAAACACTCGGTCAGTCCACTCATAATATACAGTCCATGGCTGATACAAGTCAAAATGCTCAAGTACTTTAGTAAAATCACTTACTTTCCCCTTCTGCGTAGCCTGTACACAAAGATGTCCATCACATGTGACGCAACCATAAAAAGTACAACAGATTATTCAACATTGGATAAAAACCTGTCTGAAGAATGTTACCAGCTGTGTTTCTGTCATAAGAACTCTGGATAAACCCCGGACCATGTGCATCCTGTCTGTGATTCTGTCTGTACCCTCCTCTGTCCTCCTACATCTTCCTGCTGCCTTTTAATGTATTTATCTTCTGCTTATAACCAAACTTATAAAATCTTGAACAGAACATGGTGTTGTTCTTAAAGCAGAAGAGAAATAGTTTTGTTCCCACCTCAACGGTCAATGTGGATACAAAAATGCCTTCAGCGGTTTTTCATATCGTGTCTGTTAAAACGCTACAGGGCCATCACAGTTGTGCTCTTCAGGGATTGGCAGCAGGTTTAAGAGATGACAAATGGACTTGAATATGAGCCCCATGACTTTACAAGCATAGATCATCCTTTTCTGAATTTGTGGTTTTATGAATGGCTTGGATAATATTGACAATGCATTGATCCATTGTCTCTGTTGGGCCGTGTCAAAATGCTTGAAAACCGATTCCAACAAGAATGATGATAAAAGAAAGTGCAGCTGTTGTGTCTTTTATTGTCAAACAAATATCAAACATTTTATTGATGGTCTTTATCCAAACACAGGTCTGTTGGCTCATAAGAATCTGTTTTTTCACTTTTAAATGTATAAACCATCAGCGCACAATTGGCCCTTGGCCTTGTCGGTATTTCAAAAGTCTGAATGTTTTGAAGTTGCCATATCGGAGGATGTCTGGTCCATTTGTTGAAACTTTCCTTTTTGACTGTCAATTTAGATTATTCCTCTGAAGTTTTTTCTGTCTGGTGAATTATGAATTGCAGCGTTTGTTCTTGGTAGAAAATAAACATTAGTACACAGACTCATCTATACACAGCCTATTATCATTGGCTGTGTATAGATGAGGCAATTGGCTCCTGCTACCTTAAGTTCAAACCGGCTTATTCCACATCCGTCAGACACTATGGTGACCTCAGCACTTGGCCATTATACTCATATGTACAGTCTATGTGCTCAACCTGAACCTGAAGTACCATCCATTGAGAGGAAGAAAGTATAATGCTCACTTCTCCAACAGGCAGACATTATTTTAGATGCATAACATTTTCTCTCAGATTCTGTCTGAGGGTTAGGATTTGAGTCGTCCTTTAACTTGAAAGAAGGCCAATCTGATAACATGGCAATACCGTATGTGCCTATGCCATTACATGAACGCTTTACCAAAAGTGACATGGAATCAACATCAAACACGTTCAATAGGATTCAATTCAATAATGTAAATAAATTAAAAAAGAATACGGAAGAAGTTGATGAAAGTTCTTCAGTATTTTTTGGTCGGCGCGGTGGCTGAGTTGATAGCACTCTTGCGTCGAGTTCCTGAGTGGAGTTTGCATGTTCTCCTCGGTCTGCCTAGGTTTCCTCCGGGTGCTCCGGTCTCCCTTATCACTAAAAACATGAACAGTATTTCCGGGTGAATGAGTAAGTGTTTGTGAGTGTGAATGTGGGACAACATGCACTGTCCCAACCAAATAAACAAAAAATAAATACATTGGAGGGAGGTGTATGTTCGCAGTGTTTGGGCTTGTGTATTGTGTGTGTGTGAGAGTGTGTGTTTAGTGTGTGTTCATTGATTGCAAGGGGTTGGATGAAGCAGTATCTGTATGTTGTTCATGGTTTTATTTTGTAAGAACTATATACGTTTGAAATAGAGATGCACCGATCCAGCTTTTTTACTACCGATACCGATACCGATACCGGAACTATGGGTATCTGCCGATACCGATATTGACCGATACCGGAAATGATCATGCTAAAATGTATTCAATAATTGAACTCTTTGTTCAAGTAACTGCAAAAGCAGTGGATGAACTAAAGCGCTAAACTTTCCAGATAAAAATGGATTCAACATAAATGTGCAATAATGTAACTGTAAAGAGCTGCTCAATGTTCACATTACCTAATACATTTATTGAATATAAATGTACTTATAATTACTGTGTTTGAATAAAAAAACACTTACAACAAACAAAACACGCTGCATGAAAATGTAAATAAATAAAAGTACCGTAGCTTTAACTGGATTTCAGATATGTATTTGGCGACGGCATGTACCTGGGTTCCAAATGGTCTATGGGGCTGCGAGCCCAAACTGATGAACTCCAACACTTTCGGGTTGTTGCTGAAAAGCTTTTTGTGACGCTGCGTCAGTGTCATCTGTGTCTCGTTGTTTTCACGTAATCTCCTTTTGATGCAAAAACTCCCCATGCTGTTTCTCGTGGTGCTTAGTCGTGTTGTATTTCGCTAGTTTACCGCCGCGTGAACAACGCTCTTTCCTGCTCCATGCTGTGTTGTTGTTGTTGTAGAGCGCCACGAGGAAGTGACGTGTACGTGAGATCTGATAAATTACTTTTAATCAATTCATTTTATACGTATATGTACATTATGCACAATGTATTTTAAGACATTGTGCGGTACCTGATATGTATTAAAAAAATATATAATAAAAAAAAAGAAAGAAAAGAAAATGGATCGGCAGCACGGCGCCTCTCTCTACGCAGATATCCGATCCAGTATTTTTTCTGGTATCGGCGCCGATATCGATACCAGTATCGGATCGGTGCATCCCTACTTAGCTAGTACATAGCTAGTTTGAAAAGCTATGCATACTTATGCATAGATTTTGCATAGATTTAGTAAATGATGTGGTCTTAAACTCATGACCTGCTGAAAATGGGTCTTTTTCAGTGTATTGTTGTCTCACTCACCTTTCTTCCTTTGCATTTTGAAACGCTACATTCAATTCTAGATTAAACTGCAGAAGGGATTTTATTATTGTGTGTAAGAAAAAATGCAATTTAACAGTGAACACAGATTTATTTGCATCTAAAACTTTTATACGTTTGTTTAGGACGTTCCACATTGTCTGTTCGAAGCGTGCCCTGAACTAAACACCTTTACAGTTGGGCGCTGATGACTTGTTCACATAATGACAGAGGTCCAGATTAGCAGCAGCCCTACATTACACAGGATTATCCAGGTGTTAGGAGCCCGCTGCTTTACGACTGGGATGAGCTGGAATGTCCCATGCACCCGACATCGCCTCTCCTGCAATTATGCTATTATCATGACGAGACAAAACACATAACTTTACTAGGATCTGAAAACCATCAAGAAAACATTCGCCGAACTAAAAGATCCTAATCTAAATTTGAAACCACAAAAATAACAGTTCTTTATGGACATAATACAAACAGCACCTGTGTATAAACGGCACCACCTTAACCTAATTTCATCAATGTTGTCCACATTTAGGCTGCACCTGAATATAAGCTGCAGGTTTTCATGTTATGATGTAGCAGCGAGATGACTGTTTTAACTGGTCACTACATGATTTAAAAACAATGTGTTTAACAGCTTGAACGTGAGCTTCCATGCCGGAACTCATTCACCAGTCTATTCTGATAATAAACAAGTATCCTCTATAGTTACTAAAACTTTATGGAGTCAAAATAGTAATTCGATAAACTCTGCTCTGACAACTCTACCTCAATGAAAACACACATAATAGCCTCATCCTGTATAAGCTGCAGGGTTCCGTTCCAAAAAAAAAGAAAAAAGTAGTGTCTTTTAGTCCAGGAATTACAGTTTTATTCTATCTCTAGTTTTTGTGTAAGTATATATCAATCAATCAATCAATCAACCTTTTGTTTGTAGAATGCTTTTCCTACACAAGGCAACACAACACATATCACATCTGGCATAAATTGTAGACATTAAAATCTACATAAACATCAAAAATATAATAAAAATCCCAAAGGGCATCAAAAACACACAATGAGATCACAACAAAATTTAAAAACATTAAAACGTTAAAATCAGATATGGGATTAATATCATAAATATCCACAGTGCACCTAAAAATAAAGTCATTCAGTTGTATGCACAGCTAAACAAAACTCTTTTTAACCTAGATATTGAAAACTGCCTGAGAAGAGTCTCATATTCTCAGGAAAAGACTGTTCCAAATCCCAGGCGCACAAATCTGAAATGCAGCCTCCCCATGTTTAGTTTTTTTTTTTTTTTTTGTCAGCGCAGAGGCTTTCACTCTGTCAGTATGTAAAATATGTTTCCTAAAAGCCTAAAGTCACGTTGGGCTCTTCAGAAAATTGCCCAAACAGGATTTTTACATGGGCACACATCAAATATGCCATTTTAAAATAAAATAATTACATTCAGTGACAGCAAACGGTAAAACATTGTCAATCCTTTATCAACAAATTCTTGCAAAGAATTTCAAATAAATAATAATTTGCCTTGAGATACAAAATGTGTTCATGTCTTCAAACAATTAGCTCACTACTGTAGTAATAATTCCGGTTCTTTGTCTCCTCCACAGATCGCAACAATCAAAAAAACAGTAAGGAGTTTCTAAACGCCGCTTTGGATGAAGATGGGGCAGTTAACGGGGTTGTGTAGTCTCCTCCTCCTTAGCCTGGCTGTGCTGACCACCGCCAGACCCAAAACAGGTACAGTAAGACCACCAGAATGTGAATGTCAGGATAGTCTGATCATACAGATGTCACAGGGGCACTTTACATACAGTGGAAGATTTCAGGCACACATCACTTTAGAGCAACTGAGGGTAATATCAAGATACTTTGCGTTTTTTGCAGTACTTCAAGAAGAAAAACATTGTATTATTCCCACATAAAACAAGCTTCAATTGATTTTTTGCTCCAAACTTTATGGCAACAGCTGCAGAAGGCAAAATACTTTTAGAAGCATGTATGAAACTAGATATTAATTGCACTTTGCATTGGCTCCCGGTGCAGTCGGGCACATAAATCCCACATTACTTTTCCAATTCTTATGTTCACACAATAGTCGGGGCGATCGCACAGCTCCTGCCTGACCCCTGTTTTCTGACCTGAGATGATGTTACAAGATGGAGGAGGTGAGGTAGAAATGTTGAAGACTAAAGCAGGTGTCTACAAGTCTGAGAAAATGAGGCATGGGATGTGAGGCAACACACTTTGTTATTTTGCCATTTTGGTTTTCACCTTCCATTTTACGTTGCAAACTTGGATACCACTGAATTATTTCGCAGAGTAAGAAAAACTAAAAAAGGAGCACTGAGAGATTTGAATGTCAATTTTGCTAAGATTCGATAAGATAGACCTTACAAATAAATAGATCACCTTTTAACAAAAATATTAACATGTTCTTTCCTCTCTCTATTCCAGGTTCACAGCCCAAGTGCAAGTCCGGCCCTGTGGATTTAGTCTTTCTGATTGACAGCTCTCGTAGTGTTCGTCCACATGAGTTTGAGACGATGAGGAAGTTCATGATCGACATTCTTAACGAACTGGACATTGGACCAGATGCAACCAGGGTCGGCGTGGTGCAGTACTCCAGCCAGGTACAAAAGATGTTACGAATGTACACAAATGAACTGTATTCTAACAAAATATCAAGTACAATGAAGTGGGGGAAAAGAAAATATTAAAATCGTTCTGATCAGTCTACTCTATGGCAGATAGATACAGTAGGTAGATAAGTAGCTTCTAGATAGGTTGATATACAGTATTTGACATGTGCAGTACAGTCATCAGGCCTTCCTCACACTCCGCAAGCAGTGTATATAGTGAGCGCACAATCTCCACAGGTCACGTCAGACCAGATGAAATAGACTGACTCCTTACATCAGGTACAATAGGCTACTGCTTTATCCAAGGCAAAGCTAATTTTAGTTCAGAATGGAAAGATATTGCCTATGAAGAAACAAAAGCACCACTAATCTAGTATGTTCTCAGATCAGACAACCCACCCACCAACTAATACAACATCATGTTTTTGTAACCAGTAGAATCGATCAGTATGATACAGATGCTTAAAAATATGAATGTATTTACATCGGACCTTGCCTCGTTGTAGGTGCGCAGTGAATTTTCCCTGAATACACACACAAAAATGGACGCCATTGTGAAGAACATCAACGACATCATCCCCCTGGCCCAGGGCACCATGACTGGACTGGCCATTAAGTACGTCATGAACTTCGCCTTCACAGAGGCAGAGGGAGACAGACCCAAGGTAATGGGATAGTTTTTTCTCTCTTCAATATAAGTTATTCATCATGTAGCATTGAGTTTACAGCAGTCACTAAAATATTGTATGTATCTTTGACATTATCCAGGAGATAAAATAAAAAAAAATTTTACCTTTACCTAAAATGCACCTTTCAAGTTACATTTTATGTCTTCATACAGTATATCGATCTTTACTTTCTCCACGCGTACTTCTGAACACGTAGATGTATCCGTCCCTCCTTAGATCCCTAACGTGGCAGTGATTGTGACAGACGGACGGCCTCAGGACCGCGTGGCTGAGGTGGCAGCAGAGGCCAGAGAAAAGGGCATCGAGATCTTTGCTGTGGGCGTGGCCAGAGCAGACATGACATCACTGCGCGCCATGGCCTCCCCTCCGTTTGAGGACCACGTGTTCCTGGTGGAGTCCTTCGATCTCATTCACCAGTTTGGACTGCAGTTCCAGGACAAACTCTGCGGTAAGGATTTCTAGGAACAGTCACTACATAAATGCTTTAGTACGCACTTTTTGCATATGAGTTGTGTATTTTCACTCATGGATGTGAATGGGGCAAGTTTATACTCCTTTTGAGTTATTTTCATTCTTATTGTATTTTTTGTAATGACTTAAATTCGACCACTAGTAGTGCATTTAATAAGGGATGGTCCATGTCAATCGGGATATTTGATTGACATGGACCAAGATTTTTCAATGTATTTTAAGTAAGTAATCTTTATTTATATACCGCCTTTTCACTGCAGAGTAGAGTCTCAAAGCAGTTTACAATTGTTATTTTTGGGCATTAGTCTCTCACTCCACACAGAGATGGGAGCGGGGTCGCCAGTACAGGAAGCACATGCCAGACCTATTGTACATATTTTTAGTGGTAGGGGAAACCAGAGTACTCGGAGGAAACCTACGCAGACACTGGGAGAACATGCAAACTCCACTCAGAAAGGCCCTGGTCCAACCGGGATTCGAACCCAGGACCTTCTTGCTGAGAGGCGAGAGTGCTATCCTCTCAGCCACTCGGCATGGTGGCCATGGCCAGGTTAAGTTGCCTCAGTTAAAACCTGGCCATGGATTGAGATAGATAATTCTATCAAGAGGTGTGAAGGAGAAAAAAAAATCAGGAAATGTTGAAAGCTACTGTAACTAAGAATACAGTATTTCAAAAAGAGGTCATTCATTCAAGCCACATTTAACTTAAACCTTTCATTCAAACGTCTTCACAGTTTCCGTGTATTCCAGTCACAGCAGGTCATATTCACAGCCAACTCTTTGTATGGGCATGTGATGTTTTGGTTTCATTTGGATCCAACCCGAATTCTTTGTGTAATTAAAAGCGGTTTGAACAGTGTGCCAAGTTATAATAAAGGATCGGATTGCCCATCTGACCTCACGGCAACCCAGACTTTTCATGACAAACTTTAAATCCAAATATCCCGGCCTGGAAAAAATGAACATTTCTTTAGATGTTCATACATTTGATCCCTGTTTTCATTAGAAATATGGCGCAGCTGTAGATTAGGCCAAAGGTTTGTGGGAGAAGACCAAGCACAAGCTGTGGCAAAGGTCCTTCAAGGTTTAAAGTGATCTGAAACAGTGAAAGGATTCTCGTCTATAGCTCATAACCTTGTAATAACAGTCCGTTTTGGTCTCTCGCACATCTTTAGACTAGCTTTAACAGAAAAGTGAAAAGGCGAGGACTACCTTCACTCAGCCAACCAGTTCTCTGCCCAAAAAGTTAAATAGTGACTCACAACTTAGCGAATGATAATGTGTTATTGGGTTATACGACGGCAAAAGGCAGTTGGGTCAAACGAAATGTGTTATTTTTGGGATAGTAAAGTTAGATACTTTAGATTTAGGAAGACATTTCTCAACAGTAAATGTAAATGCAGGTCTTATCCTTCCCACAGTTTTACACAGCTTAATGTTTAAACCTTGAGCATTAAACTGGCTGGAGGACATGTTTGAGGCTGTTTGTAGCAAATGCACAAGATACTAGCAATAAAGATGATTATGTTTAATATCAACAGTTTGAAATAGTCATAAACATATACATAGTTTACTGTTAACCCGTAAAGGAGGAATTTACAGTAAGGAATAGTGTACATTTGTCTCGGTTTTTAATTAATCTTTCCCTGTTGTGGTGTGAGCAGGAGTGGATCTGTGCTTGGAGTCCGAACACGGCTGTGAACACATCTGTGAGAGCTCCCCTGGATCGTACCACTGCCTGTGTCTGCCCGGATACACACTCAACGCAGACGGCAAGACGTGTAAAGGTGAGGGCAGGTCAGCCGCATCACACCCACTCACTGTGTGTTTGTGCAAAAGAGCAGATGCAAAATCAGACAGAAAGGACAAATAGTAGCGTACAGTATATCTTTACAATACTATCATGCCATGTATTCTGTGGTTTTTAGTAAAGTAAATGTCCATGTTCATAGAGCTCATCACAGACAGAAAGTTGTAAGTTACGTTAAGGCTTTTTTACTAATACGTGCAGCTTGATCCCTTACATTCCTTGACTGTTTTCTCTTCCCTTTGGAGTAATGACAAATGGCTGGACTCTTTTTGAAGCTGAGGCCCATAGTTCCAGCCTCTAATCACTTATTTACTCTAATTATAAGTGAGAACAATATTTGCACATAGAAAAATCAAACTCTAAAGGGGCTTACATGTTCTTAAACCTTTTTATTAGATTTGGGATCCCGAAATAAAGTAGTATGGATTTCAAACTGACAGAATTCATCACAGAATGTTTGACAGGAATTAAAAAACATCACAGGGGTTTGATATGTTTGCAATTGGATGAAAACAATATCATGGACAAACTGCATGTTGACTTCACCCATAGAGTTTGCCATAATGCGGAAGTAGCCAATTATAGCTAACTCGAACAGGCGTCATGAGCCAGTCTGTAGCCTACTTTGTGGGTAGCAAAGACAGCAACTGATTGATCACTTGATAAGGGACATAACTGGATATACCATTACCTGATCAAAAATGGATACAGAGGAGTTTAATGAGTGCCAGAAAAATGTTAATCTATGAGGACTTTCCTATTACCATTGTTACCATTGTCCATTCCTGTATAGTCCATATATACGTACTATGCTATAGTTTCTAACTTATTATGCAATTACAAAATGTACTGCAGTATTTTCAAGCTCTGTTAAAAAAAAACAAAAAAACTGGTTCTTAGTATAGACAAGCAGTATACAAGCACATCCTAGTTGTAACCAAAATGTCTGAATGTCTTACAGCCATTGACCTGTGTGCTGAAGGGAAGCATGACTGTGAACAGATCTGCCTCCCGACTCCCGGAGCCTTCACCTGTGACTGCAACAAGGGCTACCAGCTGAACGCAGACAAAAAGACCTGCTCAAGTCAGTGTAAAGCCGTCGATATCAGCAAACATTATGACAAGAGCTAAACCTAATCGCTCAGCAATAGTCGCTTCGCCATGTGCCATCAAAAATTAAATTCATTTTAATAATAATGTAGACAAAAAGAGCATCATTTTCTGCTACTTATACATACCCTGCACAACATGTCTTTTTTTATAATAATAGTTTCACGTTGGTTTAGGATGATGAAGAGCCAATTTAGATTTCTATGGAGTTGAGCAAAAGTTGTTATGTACAGTCGTAAAAATTTTGGTTTCTGCGTGTACTCATTCATATTCTCATTGCATCGCTAATGTGCCTACTCTTGCAAACTTACCATGAAAGCAAATTTGTTTACAGCTTGACATGAGATGCATTGCAGTGAATAGGTGAGCAGCAGTGGTATATGGAATAATATACATGGTAAACATCCTATAAATAACATAACTTTCAACACGTTTATTACGATCATGTGTTTGATTCTATAGTTTGAGAAAAGCCTTCAGTTTGATTAGCCTGGCAGTAGCTTAATGTCATGCTACTTCCTTCTTCAGTGATCGACTATTGCTCGTTCGGGAACCACAGTTGTGATCACGAGTGTGTGAGTGTGCTGGGGGGATTTAACTGCCGTTGTAACAAGGGCTACCGGCTGCTCGCCAACGGAAAGACCTGCCAGGGTAAGTATACTTCAGTCAGGTTGGTAGTCTTAGGTATAGTGCTTTTAGATTACAGTCTGTGCACCGAGTTTGTCCTAAAGTGTTTTGAAGTGAAGTTTTTTGATAAGTTTGTGCATTCGCTTCAGTGAGAGGTGGTTGCTAATGGAGAGCTGTTGATGCGCACTGGACTAATTTGGGGTCAAGACATTCTATTTGGAGGGGAGACCTGCTTGACCTCTATGCTGTTGGAGCAAACATACACTGCTTTCTTCCTTAGTCAACTAAAGGACAAAGTTAGGTAATAAAGAAGGTAACCAAGCTTGCAAGACTATAGTTTACTTTAAGTTGCTCCGTGTGAATTCATTCTGAAATGCCCTCCCACTGGGATGGATTCTCATATTTCTATCTTGAAGACAATGGTTTCAACAAAATCCCATGAAACTGACCATATTTAATTAGATTAAATGCACTGCCCATCTACTGGCAATGACTGTAGATAGTTGATGCCATTCAGTAAATACATCCAACATCTTTCATTAGGGATTTCAGATAAGCAGTAGCGTCTTCATGGAGGCAGACCTTCACTGACTGTGGCTCCTTGTGAAAAATATGTACTGGTTTGCTGCTTTAGCCAGGTGGTATCTGAATGACTGTCTTTGTTACTGTGGCATCAGTTTGTGTTTATTATAAAACATCACTCCAGCTCTCTATAGCAACCACAGTCTATCTTACTCAAGTGCATGTCACCTCCTGATACAACTTCATTTAAAAAAAACCCAACTTCCACTTTAAGGACTATAATTAACTTGCTTAATGTGTAGAAATTAGAAAGTAGCTGTGGCCTTCTAGCACACATTCCATTAACAATACAAAAGCATTTACAAACCGCTCCATAAACAAGAGATAATTCTTTGAAAATGAGCATGTGCGAGCTATGCAGCATGTTAGCACAAGGCCGCACACAGCACACACCTGCAGGAACAAAGCATGAGATGTTTCGAAATACAAACAATTTACAACTTTTGGAAAAATAAAGTTTTGCAGTCACACAAATCTTTTACTGCGCAGGAAGTGAACCTAAAATACCAGAAGAGCTTTAACATGTGAAAAGTCAACTTGTTCATATTGACCTTGAGATATTAACGATGTAGTTGGGTTGTGTAAGTTCACGTGTTTCTCATCTTTACGTGTGTATCGTTCAGCCATAGACCTGTGTGCGGAGGGGAAGCACGACTGCGAGCATGTTTGCTTAGCTGCTCCTGGAGTCTTCACCTGCGACTGCAACCAGGGATACTCTCTGAACGAAGACGAGAAGACATGCACACGTTAGTCAGACACCGAACATGAGCCTTGAGGTGTCACTGAAGTCTGTGTCATCTGTTAATAATCAATAGATAATGTTAATAATCAATAGAACGTTATGAAAAAATAGGTTACATAGTTTACACTGCAGCATGAGAAAGCCATTCACTGCTGCCACTTTGGCCTGTATCTTAAAACAAAACTGAAGAGGTATTGCTCTAATGCTTGTGCTTGTTCTAACTGCTATGCATTTGTGTAACTAATGCTTGAACAGGGCACCTAAAGAAACAAAGAAACTGGATGTAGATAACTGTAGTATCTTTATGATCATACATTTTATGACGTCAATAGCACCATAATGTAGATTGTATACCAACTGCAGGGACTCATGAGGCCCCAGCCCAAAGTCTCAACAGACAAAGTGGAAATGAATTATATTGTCAAACGATTTTATAAGGTGATCACACAAGTCTTGATCAAAAGTTTAAGCTCATTTGTAAATGGCAAAAAAACATCCTAACAAGGTTTCAATTAGAGCTACAATATGCAACAAGAAGACAGACAGCTGAGGTTTACGGCCACTCGTCACCTCACCAAGGCCAACGGCTTTGACTCCCGATTCTCTATTGTTCAACTGAAAGAAAACTGAAAGAAACCGCTCAGGTGGATCTGCTTGTCACCAGTGACGTTGGAAACCATCATGAACATCAATGATTTTTTGAAAACTTTCTTCCACCGTTAAATGTCATGTTTTATGCTCTCTTGCAAAGTCCAAACGGCCCGTTACGTGGAAGTCAAGGCTTTCCTTTGGCTTGACAGACAGCAATTTCTGTTTTTTCCTCACTTTCATTTCATCCTGTTGCATAGTTTAAGTTCTATTGAGATTCAGCCATGAACGTTTGGTTCATGGTTTTGCCTTTTTTCAAGTGTCCTTAACTTTTGATCCGGACTGTACAGAGGACTAAATTCTTGATGTAAATTGTTTAGCCATAGACTTGTGCGCTGAGGGGAAGCACGACTGCGAGCATGTTTGCATACCGGCTCCTGGAGTCTTCACCTGTAACTGCAACCAAGGATACTCTCTGAACGAAGACGAGAAGACATGCACACGTTAGTCAGACAAACACACAAACAAAAAGACTTTACAGCTCTTTGTCTCTGGGTAAAACATAACAAGCACAGTCAACTGTCCAAAGACGGTCATATGCAATCCTGAGATACCCCGACCTCCCAACTGTTGACCTCCCAACCATAAAATATCTGTGATTAGTGTCAAAGAAACTCCTACTGGTATACATTCCCAACAAGAGATCTACAACCTCTGGAAAAGATGTCCACGCTCGCCTCTTATATATATGTAGGAGCTGGAACTTTCTCCCATTTTAGCAAGATACCCATGAACCTTAGCCACCCTTTGAAGGAAACTTCATATGACTATAGTAGTTAATTATTCTATAGTATAGTCACATCGCTTGAAGTATTTATTCTACCATTCATCTGACTCAAAACCACTCCAATCTCTAAAGCATCATCCCCAACGTATTCAGAAGCAATAATATCTTATTCTTGTGATGTTCAGCCATAGATTTGTGCGCTGAAGGGAAGCACGACTGTGAGCATGTTTGCATACCGGCTCCTGGAGTCTTCACCTGCGACTGCAACCAAGGATACTCTCTGAACGAAGACGAGAAGACATGCACACGTTAGTCCGACAAAAGCTCTTGCATACACCCAACAAAACATAAACTAGAAACACACCCACACATGCACACAGATCCAGGTCAACATCAACCAAAATAGACTAAAATCTGTAACAAAAAACATTCAGAAACTCAAAGGAACTTGGTCTACTACTATTTTACAGACATGTAGTTTTCCCTTAGTAAAGAGACCTTGAGATCCGTCCTATTGTTTTTTTTTCTCTGCAAATATTTTCAATACCAAGAAAAGTATGAGCAAAAAATGCATAATAATTCCCCTTGAACACTTATACCATGAAGTCATGCTGCCATTTAAGCTCTAAAGCATGGTCAATGTCCAAGTTTGGACATCAACCCACCCATCTCAAGAACACTCTTTGAAGAAACTTGTTTCAGCCCGTAGTGTCTTTGAGGCAACTGATTCCTTCCACAATTCCACCATATGTAAACGTGACTCTACTCTGCTGCTAAAGGATTTAACCAAATTGTGTTATATCGTTTAGCCATAGACCTGTGTGCTATGGGGAAGCACGACTGTGAGCATGTTTGCATACCTGCTCCTGGAGTCTTCACCTGCGACTGCGACCAAGGATACTCTCTCAACGAAGACGAGAAGACATGCACACGTTAGTCAGACAAACACACATACACAAATAATTCACAGCTCTTTGTCTCTGGATAAGAAATTATGAGCACAACCCATATGCAATCTTGAGATGCCCAGACCTCCCAACCATACAACAACATACCTGAGATTTGTCTCAAAGAGTGTCCACAAGTCTCCTGCTGGAATACATTCCCATTGAGACATCTACCACCTTTGGAACTAACGTCCTTGCTTGGCTCTTTTTTATATGTAGGAGCTGGAACTTCCTTCCATGTTATCAAGACTCCCATAAACCTTAGCCCCCTTATGAAGGAAGCTTGTTGTCTGACACAAGAGGATGTCCATTTTATAGTTGAGCAATGTCTCCTATCATTCATCTCCACTCTCATCTGTATTGTTGAGGCCTTATCCCCTTCGTACTCAGAATCAATAATATCTTATTCTTGTGATGTTCAGCCATAGATTTGTGTGCTATGGGGAAGCACGACTGCGAGCATGTTTGCATACCTGCTCCTGGAGTCTTCACCTGCGACTGCAACCAAGGATATTCTCTGAACGAAGACGAGAAGACATGCACACGTTAGTCCAATACACTAAAGGTCCACTTCTGTAAGGGCATAGAACTAGATATGGGTCTAAGATTTAAATCCAAATTGAAACATTTGAATGCTAAGGTGTTTATGAGAAATTTATTTTGTGTTGGCTAATATGATGCCAATAGTTGGTAAAACAACTAATGCCCGAGTTGTTTGATATCGTTCAGCCATAGACCTGTGTGCTATGGGGAAGCACGACTGTGAGCATGTTTGCATACCGGCTCCTGGAGTCTTCACCTGCGACTGCAACCAAGGATACTCTCTGAACGAAGACGAGAAGACATGCACACGTTAGTCCAATACATTTAACTCATAAAGGAATAGGAGATACCATGGATCTAAATACTTGATGATCATTGCGATCAGTCGACATATTGTTTTTTCCAATATGTTGAATACTATTTGATTTAATAGGGTGGTGGTTAGGTGCTCTGACTTAATTGTGTGTGTGTTACAAAACTAATACTAAGGTTGTTTTGTACTGTTCAGCCATAGACCTGTGTGCTATGGGGAAGCACGACTGCGAGCATGTTTGCATAGCTGCTCCTGGAGTCTTCACCTGCGACTGCAACCAAGGATACTCTCTGAACGAAGACGAGAAGACATGCACACGTTAGTTAGGAACATCTTACACAGTAATCTTTTGTATAGTTTGTGTTATTAGTTCGTACGTTGTGGTAAAGTAATAGGTTTGAAGGTTTTTGACTTGCCCTGACCTTTTCCAAAACTGGATGTCTCCCTCATCCCAAAAGGCATTCTGCCAGCATTGCTTTGCTTGCATGAGCCACACATAGAGCTATTGCATTTAAAAATGACTAATAGTATAATAGGTTGTTGTAATCTAGAAAATGTTGTCTACTTGAGAATGTTAAGGTTCTGTTTTTTTATGCTTCAGCCATTGATCTATGCGCTGAGGGCAAACACGATTGTGAGCAAGTCTGCGTTCCTTCTCCTGGAGCTTTCACGTGTGACTGCAAAAAGGGGTTTAAACTCAACAAGGACAAGAAGACATGCACAAGTAAGTTCATAAACATGCTGGAGAAAGGCTCGTGGTGGGAGAGGGAGTTTATACAAATTGGGTGGAAAGGGACTGTATGACAATAGAGTATTAGAATCTTTAGAAAGACATTTCATTTTCTATCCCTTAATTATTCAATTTCAGCCTTGGTCTTTCAGCGTAGGGAGTTTTTAGGGAGTCGTACAAATTAAATGCAGCAGAACCATCATTATCCAACCATTCTACATACAATCTCAATAAAAACACCTACAATGAAGTAGTTGTGCTTGATTGATTTCAGTCATCCTTTTCCACACCCTAAGAAGGTATACAGTACAAACACACTTCATTATTGGCCTCAGAACAAAGTCCCCACACGAGCGTAATGTCCAAGGAGAAAGAAGGATTTGGACGATCGTCTTGGCTGTACAGATAAAGCATGTATCTCTCTGCTGTTGCTATCCCAGGTTTTAATACAGTGCACCATGATGCTCTCGATGATACAATGACAGTCTAAAGGAGTCCACAGAATGCTGACAGAAGAACTAGCTCAAACATTGGAAACAATGTTGTATAGACTCATACTATTCGGTTCAGCTTACGTGGAGTACAGGAAATGTATGTATGTTTGCACAGGAAATGTTCAAACATGTAAGGAAAAAAAAAAAAGTAAACACAACATAAAGGTATTTTATGTACAAAAAGTGACTAAGTCTGTCTGACAGCAGTGGGGATGAAGGTCCTGCTGTAGTCCCTTCTTGCAGAGGGCGCACTCTGCAGTCTAGAGGGTGTAACTTACATTATAGATAAAAGTGCAATATTTGGAAGAAATTCAAGACTATTTTAGAACATGAAATATTCAACCCATTTTTGTTGATTAAAATCTTCCAGGCTGTCAATTTACTGAATAGCATGTGTGTTTTACAGATATGGACATGTGTAAGAGTGTGGTCCACGGCTGTGAGCACCAGTGTGTGAGCACCCCTGGATCCTACTACTGCATCTGCCCTGAGGGTCAGCTGCTGCAGGACGACGGCAAGAGCTGTGGCAGTAAGTCACGCAGCAGCTTCACAACACAACAACACAAGTCCTCCAATACAGCCAGTGTCAGAAAATGTGGTCATTTTTATATTTTTGTTTTATATAATGTATATATTTTTCAAATTACTAGACATGCATAACATTAACTATCAGTGATACAGAAAAAAATGTACTCTTCAAGAACAAACCTACCTAGAAATAGTGTATTTTATGTTTTAATATGTTTTGGTTTGTTCTTTTTTCTCATTTGTACCATTTAAGAAACTACTTGCCTTGACAAGAAACAGAACATCTAGAAATAGGCCTTCATACTTTAGACAACTGTAGACCTTTCAGGGCCTAAACTGGAGTGAAACCAGGTCTGAACTGTTTCTGTAATACTTCTGATTTTGTATTAACCTCCAGGAAGACAGAAATCAGGATTACCGCAAGATTGTGGTATATCAGTTTGACAAACAATGATGTGAATTAGATGCACATTTGTAATCTTTTTTCTTCCCCGCTAATTGCCAAAAATAGTAATTCCAACATCCATAATCAGATAAACAAAAAGACTAAGTTAAACACAAGTTGGTCTTATCATTATTATTGTAAGCTTTAATTCTATAGTTCTTCACATAAGGCCTTTTACAGTGCACAGTGAACCTGTAGTTCTTTAAAGAAATGTTATGTTGATGTTTTGTTTTCTTTGTATGCATGCCTTATTCTATTTGTACTTGTAAAACTTGTTTGCCCTGAGAGCCAAAGCAATTTCCTAGTGTGTGACTTCCTGTTACTTACAATGGCAATACAAATAATTCTGGTTCTGCGAAACATCCAGGTTGAAACACTCATTTGAAAAGCAGATTAACTATTTTCTGGAGCTGAACTGGACGGAACAAAGATGAACTGTTCTTTTTGGTTTCATAAGATGTGGCCCTTTCTCTGGAGGGGTCATGGGAGAACCAATATGTCTGCCAAAAAAAGCACTGTGAACACAGAAAGATTATTCATCGCAGTTTAAGTGTGACTCCACTAGGCTGCATCAGAGCGAAGAAAACAATACAGAGTAAAACAAGCCATTACAACAGCCTGAAATAAAACTTATTTGTGTATATTAATAAAATCACACCTTCCCAGATTCTTGCTTAATGACTTATTGTGATTAATTATGACATCACTTTTTACGACAATACTATATAACGTGGGTGTGTCTTGATTATGAACTGAATGCAGCTCAGTTTCCAGAGGTCTCCCATCACAGTACTAACTAGGCCCTGCCCTGCATATTTTTTGTGAAAATAGTCTGGTGAATAAGTCATGGAAGCTAACGGTTCAGCTGTTAAATCAGGTTGTGACCAGTTAAACTAGTCTTCTATCTTCTGCATTACAACATGAAAACCTGCGGCTTATATTCAAGTGCGGCCTATATGTGGACAAAACATACTTTACAATGTTACTGGTGGGACTTATAAACAAGTGTGTGCAGAACTTCTAACTATAGTTTCCGAGTGAATGAAAGCCCCTGTTCCTTCTTTACAGCTTGCAAATCTGCCAACATCGACCTGGTCCTCGTGATCGACGGCTCCAAAAGCGTTCGGCCACAGAACTTTGAGCTGGTGAAGAAGTTTGTGAACCAGGTGGTGGACTCCCTGGACGTGTCGGCCCACGGGACCAGGGTGGGACTGGTGCAGTACTCCAGCCGCGTACGCACAGAGTTCCCCCTCAACATGTACCACACTGCTGACGAGATCAAGGCTGCAGTCATGAAGGTAATCCCCGAGTGCACGTTTTAAATCCAACATTGTCCTTTGATGTTGCAGATTAATTATCATTTTATCATGTTCTATCAAAGCAGCATATGTAAGATTTTCATGTCTAGTCCTCATTAAATGGCCCTAATGTGTCAAAAAGCATTAATAAACCATTCTCTTTTCCAGTACTTCTCTGACTGTTATAAGTAGTTCAGCCGAGATATTTTAGTTTAAGTATATAAGATTTACAGCACGTGAATACTTTTTGTTTTTATTCCGATGTCCCGCCCTCCATCGTTTTACCAATCAGAAACTTTGTCATCCGTGTTGCCAGAAATCACTGCGTCGAGCTGATCTCACTGGTAATGTAAAATGTGGCTGTGTACGGAAGAAGGTCTTGTTATGATTTTCAAATCATTCATGACAAAACAAGGACTAAAATAAAACGAGGATTTCTATCGGGGATGTTCTCTCTTGTCTATTCAGATATTATGGTCCTAGCTGGATCCGTCTGCATACCTGGCAACCTGAGGGTTGAAAAAAAATGCAACCTCTCCCCTCCCTGTGGGAGGGGAGAGGTTGCATTTTTTTGTACATATTACTCCTTTAATGATTGTTGATTTGAAATTCTATGTGTTGATATTTGATACATTTTTAATCATTTTTCACTGTCATTTTCCATATTTTATCTATTTCCCAAAACTTCATACAAAATGTTCCCTATTTATGGCCAAACTCTCCACACTGTGCACTCTGTTGTCACAGTCAACACACTGTACAGATGAACTTTATTCTCTCTTCAATAAATGTATCTATCTATCTACTGCCGTAAACCATTTCCTCATAGGAGGGTGACTACAGGAAGAAGTTCTGATAACATCTGATAAGACTTTTATTTCATCCATAATAAGTAAACTGTATCCAGAGTTTGAGCTGAAACACATTGTGAGATGTTGACCATCTCAGAATCAATATTTGTTACCCTCAGACCTTGGGTTGTGTGTGAGCGGGTGTTTAATTTCTCAATTAAAATGTTTGCATTTTGAGACATGAGTTGAATGTGAGAGTAGCTGCCACTGATAGTGTTTCTTCAGGGTTTATGATATATATTTTTTTCATTCTCATCCTCGTGAACAATAGGTGTTTGTGGTTAAAGTAACAGTGGTTAAAACAAGGTGTATGTACTCTTCCGGATGCACAAGTTAAAGAAATAACCACAGAGACAAGACGAGATGAAGGCCCTTGCACATATATATAGTGCTACTTCCGGTCTCCACTTTCTGTGCATGATCTGACACCGATTACTCTTGTTTATTTGATTCTTAAATTGTATTCTTCTGTTAAAAATACAGTCACAACTGTCTATCACTACTGTCCTTTTGAGGGAATTACATCATCCTCTCTAAAACAGAAAACCACTATAAAAATCGACATATGCTCGACAGGTCTTGTCTGTTAAGTGGACAATTCAATACTAAACCACGTATTACATAACATTTCAGATTCAACAAAGAGCAGAGAAACAGTATACCAGGTGAATGTGATGAGTCATGCAGCCCAGAAACTTGAGTGATGGCTCCCTCTAGTGGGCAGATATATGTATTCATTGGATCTTTCTCAGATATGACTTTGCTTTAGGAGACCCCGTGGTAAAAGAATCAGGTTGTGATGAAAAATATACTCTAAAAATGGAGTTCTAAAATGTATTCCCTCCAGCTATAAATCATCACACAGTTTTACATCCATCTGTGGCACTTGAATTGCTCACCAAGATCGTTTGTAACGTTAAGGTAAGTAAGGTCTGAAGGTCGTGGGTTCAATTCCCACCTCTGCACCTTCTCCACCGACTCCCACTGATGATTACTGTCGTTGTGTCCTTGGGCAAGACACTTAACCCCACTTTGCCCAAAGCCCCCACTGAAAGATCAAGGCTATGCTCACACTCAGAGAGCAGCCGTCCTCCTGTGGACTCACCACCTGCAGAGGGTCAGTGAGGGGCCGGTGCTATGAGACTTGGGTGGCATCTCTGACTGCCACCCCCCTGACCCAGAAATGGATTAAAGGGTAGAAAATGGATGGATGGATGGATCGTTTGTAAGAATTTAAAGGCATCCATGTTGAGTGTAAAATGTGTTAAATCTGTCAAAGTGCATGTTGTATTGTACTAAATTGTTAAAGTTATTTGTGAAGGTTCTTCTTGACAAATAACTTTAACAATTTAGTACAATACAACATATATATATATATATATATATATATATATATACTACTTATATATTTTGCACAGCCCGGAGCGCAGTTTGCAGTTTCTCCCACAGTAATAACATGAAAAACCCAGTATTTTCTAAAACATCAATAACATCTGCTGGAACTTGACAGAATCCGTGTGCAGTGTGGCCAAACAACCTGAACATGTGTGTGTGTGTGTGTGTGTGCGTGTGTGTGTGTGTGTCCAGGTGGAGTACATGGAGAAGGGCACAATGACCGGCCTGGCTCTCAAGCACATGCTGGAGAACAGTTTTGCCGAGGCCGAAGGGGCCCGTCCAGCCAGCCGCAACATCCCGCGCATCGGCCTGGTGTTCACTGACGGCCGCTCCCAGGACGACATCACCGAGTACGCCAAGAAGGCCAAGGAGGCTGGTGAGCAAGACACAACATTCATTTGGACATATTTATTCGAAGTAAAACAAAACAAGTTTTCAATGTGTATCACCAGTTAAATTGTGTTTGTCCCAGCAGAAAGAACAATACCTTTATAAGAAAAATATTGTGAACAAATCAGACCACAACAAACTGTATTTATCTTGTTAGAAAGAAACCCTCTTATATTTTGCAGACTGTAAGGAGCCCTGTGAGACTATCAGGTCCTCTCTTTTCTACTTGCACAGTACATGCATGTGACAGAACCAAACAGTTTGGAAAATCAAAGAAAATATTCCAATTTAAATTTGAAAGTGAATTACTCCATCTTTAATCAATTTAAGTGTAGTTTAGTCTAATATTTCCTGCATTTAGTGTTATCAAAATATAACACTAAACTAGGCATGTCCAAACTCAGGCCCGGGGGTCAGATGCGGCCCTCCCTGTCATTTTATGTAGCCCCTACCCAAAGTAGTCTGAATGACATATGTTCACATATTCACTGTGTCATCCATCCAACTTCAGCTGGAGTCTGGAGTTCAGTCGTTGACTTGAGATGGGATAGTAAACATTTGTCATTCAGCCAACTTCAGCTCCGTTATAGATCATTCGAAAGCTCTTAACAGCCTAATGCCAGTCAAGACAGTTTCTCATGTCGGGCCGCTGAACTAGTCTAGTGAACTAATGTGGTGCTTTTACTAAAATTGTTGGACGCCCCTGCTCTAAACCTCTAATCAGGAAGTCTAAACCGAATTAGACTTCCTTTTTAGCCGGTGGGCCCCACTCTTGTGCCTCTCCAGTAGATTTAGACAAAATGATAATACACCAGTCTGTATGGGTTCCTTACAACATTTTGGTTTAGTTTTTAGTTAGTTTACGTTTCTTTATTACGAGGAATAGCCTCTTGAGATGGATCATCTCGTTTTCAGGAGGGTCCTCAAAAATAGCAACACAAGTAGCAGCAGCGGTTGTCAAATAAATGCAGTTACAGTAAAGTGTAACAAATAAAAACATAACAAATTACAGTAAATAAATTCAATAAAATAACAGACAAAAAAAAAACACAAAAAAAACCAACAATACAAGGACAGAAACATTCACTCACACACACACACACACACACACACACACAGAGCTCTCAGAGGTCAGAGGTCACCCTACTCCTCAAACTAGGACAGTGAAAACCAAAGGATATAATATTTAAAAGAAAGTTCAGTAGCAGTTACAAACATTACATAGATGCCTTTGTACAGCAACTTTAAAAAGAGATAAAGAAGTTAAAGAGCGAATAGAGGCCGGAAGGAGATTCCAGTCGTTTGGGGCTTTATATTGGAAAGCTATTTGCCAAGTTCTTTTTTCACACGAGGAGTGTGAAAGAAAAGCTGGTTTGTGTGACGAAGATTATAAGAGGAATTAAAAGGGGTTAAATATTGCTTTAAATAAAGAGGATAATCCAAAAAATAACATTTATAAATGAAAAACAACCAGTGAGAGTGACGTCTTTGGGACAGAGAGAGCCAGGACAGTGATGGGTCCTGTAGGGGCAGCGCAGAATGAACCTGCACAGGATATTGTAGGCAGTGTTCAGAGGATGGAGAGAAGTGGATTTTGCCTCACCCAACCTTGAGTATAATATCACAGATAAAAGTAGAAAGATAGATAGAGGCAAAGATGGAAAAGATAACCTTTATTCATCCCACAGTGCCACTCTCTGTATCTGCAGAGAGTGGCAGAAAGAACAGATAAAGCACCAGAATGAGAACCGTAACATTGCATTGAAAAAACCAAAGACACTGATGTTGTCTACCTTTGCTTTCGACGTTTCAGGCATCACCATGTACGCTGTGGGTGTGGGGAAAGCTGTGGAGGACGAGCTGAGGGAGATTGCGTCTGACCCTGTGGAGAAACACTTCTACTACACCACGGACTTCTCGGCCATCAGCACCATTGCAGAGAACCTCAAACTCAATGTTTGTCCAGGTACTCCAAAAGGAAACAACAACTTAAAGCTAGACCTAACTTATTTGTTGTTTCATACATCTATGTTATTTGTCTCCCAACCATAGAGTGTACTGTAAATAGTAATGGACGTAGTCACGCCTATCTCTGTTGTTGGAACTAATCATGAATCTATTATAATAACTGGATAGGGTAGTACTAGCTTGGAGCTGAAGAACCCACGCGCTCGGGGGATTGTCGTGGGACTTCAGACTAAATTCACGCGGGCTACCCAGAAATTTTCCCCATAGAACTCAATGTAAATTAAAACAGCTTGACCTCAGCTGACAGAGAACCTTCAGCTTTAATAAAGATCAGATTTTGTGGAGATTTTAGTGTCTCTTGTTTGTCTCTTGTTTCTTCTTAAATCCTCCGGTTTAATTTAAATCCACACTTTAGTGCCACAAACTCTGCCTGTCTGGCTCCCGTTCTAACTCCCGCTCTGATCAGCAGTTCTGATTGGTCAAAGCGCGGCCGAGCCCCTCTGTGCACATGCATGAGACCCACACACGCGTATTTGGCGCAACGCATCATGGGAGATCATCCACTGCGCAGAACCGGGAGGACCAAACAATGTCCAAATACAAGCGAGTTGCCATGGATCTTTGCGAGTTCCAGGCGAGTTCCGCTAATCTTTTGGCGCCCATGCCTGCACAATGCGCCACTGAGCACAAACCATTCATTTGATTACGGCGCCATCTTGGATCGCCGGGGCTTGGAACTAATGTGCCACCACTTCCGAGGTCTTTGAGCAGTTTGAAAATAGCCTTAAGGGCTTGAAAATGTGAAAAACCGCTTCTGCGCATGCGTTAGCCAGCACAATCCTCATTCATTTGACGAGTACCTTTTAAAATTTCAGAGCGACTAAATTAAATTACACTCCCCTAAGCATTGACACACATCTGGAAGGTAGCGGACTTGTGGACCATTCTGTAAAGACATCTTCGAGAGGTAATAAGATGCATTAGCATTGGCTAATTCTTGTTCCGGGTGGGGGGCGGGTCCCGGCCCAAAAATGTCCAAAATGAGTGTGCTGACATGCTTGCAATACCACCCCGGGCCAATGGGGTCACACATTACTTGTGTGATTCTTATGTTTTTAAATTACTTATGTGATTTTAATGCTTTTTAATTACATATGTGTTTTTAATTGTATTTTAATGGTGATGATTTGTGCATTGTGTGGTGTGGACTGTGAGGCGCTTTGTGTTGCCCTGTGCAGGAAAAGCGCCCTATAAATAAAGATTGATTGATTGATTGATTGCACAGTAATCGGACAGTAATTTCAAGTGAAAACAAAAAGAACTGACAGAGCCAAACAAAAATATTGTATTATTCATTTAATCATAAAATAAAATATGGCACACTGTGAAGGTCTTGGTTCAATAAATTAGATGACAATAATTTTTAATGTGTTTCAATAAACGCCCGGCCCTCGGCTTCTAGCAAATTTGTTTTTTTAGCCCTCCCATGTATTTGACATTGACATCCCTGTTTTATATAATAACACTGCCCCCTTTAAAGTCACACACTCAACTCCTTCTCTACAGACACAACTGATCTTAATGGAAGTCCTTAACAGTATTTTCCTCTGCTCCTGTCTTGTGCAGCGGAGAGCCAGGGGGAGATCGAGGTGAAGGACCCCTGCGCCTGTGACAATCTGGTGGAGTTCCAGCAGGCCACCATGAGCAGCCTAGAGCAGCTCACACAGAAACATATCCTTTGTTCAGGACGACCCAGAACCATTGACTATAAATGGAACACAGGGCTTCTCCAAAAACATTTTCTGCACACCCCTGATCACATTCTTCCAGTAAAAGCCATTAGCATCTGTACATTACGATCTGAGAAAGAGAGAGGGGCAGTTTTAGAATGGGATTAAACGAGGACTTTTATCTATCTGTCTAAACATCTGACTTATTCTGACTTTTTTCCGTAAACTATATTGGTTTTGTATTAGTACTAAATTAAATAATCATGATTCAGTGTGCTGAGTCACATACTGTAGCTTCTTCCAGTAGTGCAAGGGCTCACTCTACTGTTGGAACTCTGCCATTACAAAAGTAGGGATGGGCAAACAAGTTAGACATAGATTTCTTCAGAGTTCCTTAGCTTGAGCCAAAGTCATTTAAAAAGCGGTGGTATTCTGGGATGTATTGGGAGCATTGCAAGCACTCTCTTTTGTTATTTTTGAGTATTACAGCCACACTCAGAGTTTACATAGTATACAAGGTAAAGAACACAAGATTAGTCGGCACATTTCCTGTTAAGTTATTAGCAGCAAGTAAAGTCAAAAGGTCAAAATATATTGCAATACATCAAGCTCCAACTGAGATTGTTCTGCCCTAGATGCTATGAAATCAGAGAAGTATTCCTAAAACATGTAGCCAACATTGACATTACTAGTTGTCATACAAGATTAGTATTTATATTACACTTAAAATAAGTATACAATAAAACACAAAGAGTTTTCCAGTAAATTAAATATGAATTGCATGTATTTTGTGTGGCTTCAACATTCTGAACTACAATTGGTAATAATAATGAAAAATAATACATTTTATTTAAAAGTGCCTTTCTAGACACCCAAGGACACTGTACAGGACATAATAAAAACATTAAAAACAGGATCAACAGAATAAGACAGTAGTGTGTGTGGTTGTGTTACAGTGCCTTGCGAAAGTATTCGGCCCCCATTGAACCTTTTTTTGTCAAGAATCAACAAGTGGGACACAATCGTGAAGTGGAAGAAAATGTATTGGATAATTTAAACTTTTTTAACAAATAAAAAACTGAAAAATGGGGCGTGCAATATTATTCGGCCCCCTTGCGCTAATACTTTGTAGCGCCACCTTTTGCTGCAATTACAGCTGCAAGTCGCTTGGGGTATGTCTCTATCAGTTTTGCACATCGAAAGACTGGAATTCTTTCCCATTCTTCCTTGCAAAACAGCTCGAGCTCAGTGAGGTTGGATGGAGAGCGTTTGTGAACAGCAGTCTTCAGCTCTTTCCACAAATTCTCGATTGGATTCAGGTCTGGACTTTGACTTGGCCATTCTAACACCTGTATACGTCTATTTGTGAACCATTCCATTGTAGATTTGTAGAAAATGTAAATTTTATATCTTTATGTTTGAAGCCTGAAATGTGGCGAAATGTTGAAAGGTTGAAAGGCTCATACTTTCGCAAGGCACTGTAGGTGGGTGCGTTTGTGTGTTAGGTGGGGTAGGACAGTCTGAACAGATGGGTTTTGAGTCTGGATTTGAAGAGTGGAAGAGAGTCAATGGTACGGAGGTCAGGGGGGAGAGAGTTCCAGAGCTGGGGGGCAGAGTGGCTGAAGGCTCTGTGTCCCACAGTGATGAGTTTAGCTGGGGGGACGGAGAGTGTGAGAGTGGAGGAGGAGCGGAGTGTGCGGGCAGGAGTAGCAGGCCGGAGGAGGTCAGATAAGTACGGAGGGGCCAGGTTGTGAAGTGGTAACATTGGACAAAGTAACAAAAATGCATCAAACTTTCACTTTTTAATACTTGGTTACAAATGCCACAGGGAGGAAACCAGAGCACCAGGTGGAAACTCACACAGGGATGGGGAGAATATGAAGACGCCTTGTCTGGAAGTGGAATCGAAGCCAGGAACTTGGGAGAGTGCTTTCCACTGCTCTCAAAGTGGGAGGCTGTACTTCCTGAATTTACCTGATTTGGATCTTTAAAATTAGGGGCTAGAGTGTAGATTAAAGCAGGGGTTTACAGAATCAAAAACATGATAATTCTGTCATGATACCCAACATGAATAGACTGTTCCTTTACCCATAAGCCCTAAGCATTCTGTTAGCTTCTGCTTCATTTTAGACCTTTTTCCTTAACTCTTTGCTCACTAGCTGGAATGGCCGCACGTCTGGAACAGTTGGAGAACCAGCTACTGTCCAGGAAGTAATTCACCTGTGAGCAAGACGCCCACCACCAGGAAGAGGAAGAACAAGGCACATCACGGTCAAACAGGGGAAATCAAACCATCAACCACAATGGACAATCTCTAGGCTATTTCTCAAAGACTTTAAAGGCCTTACACCAAAACTCACTATGCTATATGTGAAAGAAAAATATCACCAAATTGCTTATTTATCTCATTCTGCGTATGAGATATCCAATGGTTTTGTATTGAAGATGTTATGTACAAATGTATCCACACTGCAGATTAGGCAGACTGTAAACTGAAAATATATGTACAGTAGGTAGAGGCCGCAAAGCAACATTTTTATACTTGTTTTGTACTATTTGATAATGAGTATGTATTTATAGCGTCTTTTTTTACTAGAATGTGTAGAGACAAGGGCAGGAAATGAAGCGTTATTGCCACTCCACAGAACATGTAGAGGAGCATTAGAATTTTTTTTTGATGATTTTATTATTTTCATTTTTCAGCAGATCACATGAGACAGAAGACAGTTTTTTGTTATTGTGTATGAAAAGATAACCACCATTTTAAACCCTCTACATTTGGACTACGCATTTTGTATGTTGTTAAAAATGTTTTGTATTCTTCAATGTTTCAACACAGAAGACAATAAAAGAGAAAACTTTGTATTCAAGTGTTTTTTTTTTTTTCATATTGTACATTTTAGTGAGAAATATGTTGTTGAAATACTAGAATCATGGCCGTACAGAAAGACAGAGACGTGGTTAACTCTGGGGCCAATCGATCCAGAGGCAATAAATACTCAAATACAGCTAAATAAACATTGATTACAAATTTTTGTATAGCAGAATTAAAAATGCTTTCAAAGAGCAATTCACAATACAGATCAAAAAGGAATACAGATACAGCAATATACAACAATACAAAAGTGTAGCCTTAAAGTATTGGGCTTTAAAACACACACTAAAATCAAGGTTTTAAAACAGATAAATAATACAGAAATAGAATCAGTTGTACAACAGTCACCATGCACAGATATGTTTCCAAACGAGACTTGAACATGGTCTTATTTTTATTTATTTATTGTTTATTTGGTTGGGACAGTACATGTTAATGAACGCTTCACTCCACACTCTTTCACCCTGAATTATTGCACATGTTTTTAGTGGTAGTGGTAGGGACCTATGCAGATGCGGGGAGAGCATGCAAACTCCACTCAGAAAGGCCCTGTTCCGAATGGGATTCGAACCCAGAGCCTTTTTGCTGAGAGGAAGTTAGCAAAAGTTCATTACAGTTCACTTGTACTGTAATATTCTCAGTGGGTATAAAGAAGTTGTGGAGAGAAACACAGATTCCCCGGAGAACAGTGTCGGAGGGTAAAAACACCTCAGGGACAACACTGACCTTTGAGCAACTTCTACTTTTGCCTTTGGTAAACACGGCCGAGAACTTACAGATTCTAGGCCTTAAAAACTTTGTCAAAAAGTAGACTTGCCACAAAGAGTTCATAAAGAGTGAAGAAATACTCAAGCATTAAAATATTTGAATTATAAGTGGTTTACAAATTATAATCCCTGCATCATCTGTCTTGTTTGCTTTAGTTTTTCAAAATGGCATTGCTCTGTAGGATTCTCTAAGCATGGGACCTCTTGTGCACCTAACTATGCTTTGGACTCTTTAATTACCAAACATTTCTTTACAAACCTCTGAGGCACAGGACAACTGCAACAATCAGATTAGATTACGCTATTCATGGGATTGTAATAGTTTTCAAAGCATCCATCCATCCATTTTCTACCCTTTAATCCATTTCTGGGTCAGGGGGGTGGCAGTCAGAGATGCCACCCAAGTCTCATAGCACCAGCCCCTCACTGACCCTCTGCAGGTGGTGAGTCCACAGGAGGACGGCTGCTCTCTGAGTGTGAGCAGAGCCTTGATCTTTCAGTGGGGGCTTTGGGCAGAGTGGGGTTAAGTGTCGTGCCCAAGGACACAACGACAGCAGTCATCTGTGGGAGTCAGTGGAGAAGGTGTAGAGGTGGGAATATTATAAATACTACTGTATTACTGCAGTTCTCTGGCTGGATTGAGCCCTGAGGGAGGGCCCATTTTAAAACCCAACACATAAAAGTGGTGATTATAAAGGGTATGGTCACTAAAATATGTCCAATATTTTTTTTTTCTACGACAGAGCATAAGGGTCACATTTAGAAAAAAAAAACTATAATAAACTGTGAGATTAAAGTCGTAATTAAATCATTATTTACTAGTTTAAATAAATAAACTATTAAATAAGTCATAATTATATCATTACTGACACAAATAAAGTCATAACATATAGGTGTACTTTTGTGGAAGACAGTTGATAAAGTGAGCTGCATTGAGATTTTTGTGGAGTTGTACTTCAGGATAGGTTTCACAAACAAGGAGATACTAAATCTTTGGGCCCATTCGTATCATATATGTAGTATTAGAACTTTAAAAACAACATGCAAGAAAATTCATCTTGTCTGGAGAAAGAACTGGACGGACTTGGAGGAAGTCGTTGCTGTTGTGGATTATGGGCTTTGCCGGGCCTCCGCCTGCACAGGACCCGTGAGTCTTAGGAGGCACACATCTACAATAACGTTTTGTGGTTTGATTAAGTCAGGCATAATTGGCACTTACAATATTAATAATAATCACAATAAAAGAAGAAGAATTTAAGTGGTAAAATGAGACAGGAAAACAATTATAACAATTTCATGTAAATCAAGTTTGCATTAAGTTTCTTCAAGTTTGTACTCTTGGATAATAAGAACCTCAGTCCCAAAAGTCTCATTTGAAATCTGGTCCATCGCTCCCTCGACTGTTGTGGACATTATTTTTGAAACACAGATAGTTGTATTCAATTAGGCCAAATGTCAGGCTGAGTTCATGGAGGCTCCGCAGTCTCTGAGGAACGGTGTTTGGATCCTGAAAACAGGCGCAGAGAGGGTGACCTTTAAGTGCGCACTAATGAGGCCAGCACATGGAAAACACTGAGCTAATTACAGAACACAGGCAAATGTCACAGTGCCACAACAAGTTTCATTTTGGAAATAAAAAAAAAGTTGAAAAAGTTAAATTATGTTCTTTCTTAAAACAATAGAATAATGCACTCTTCTCAACAATTATACATGTATACAGTCTATCTTATGTATTGTAGATATATATTTTAGATGCATATAACAATACATCGATGCAACACAGGTCAGCGTGGTTAGAAGAAGGTCTAAGAGTTTAAATCCTGATTGGAACAAGGCCTTTCTGTGTGGTGTGGCTTTAGTGGCGATGCAGAAGGGGTCAAACCTGGAGGAAAAATGTCCCTATGGAACAGTAGAGCATGTCTTAATCTAAACATAAATCCAAATTATGAATAATGCAATAATAATAATAATGCTGAAACTGAACAGTGTAATTTGTATAAATATTCACTCAGTTAATACTTTGTGGATCCACCTCTCAGACACCTGTCCAACGACAAATTTGAGAACAGCACTTTTTCACTTTGCTTTAGGACCAGGGCATTCTATAACATTATTATACGGCTTAATTTCAAAACGTTCTACCGGTCATTATTTTCTATAACGGACCTTTCAAAACAATAATGACCGCTGCCCTTTGGCAACGCACTCTCTGCTTGTCTTTCAAATGCGTGGATAACTCCGCAAGTAGTTCCGGCACTCCTGAGCTAGCCACGCTCAATCAACACACTTAAATGTTAATCTGAGAATACTTATACATATACATTCTTCACACACGTGCCCGGAAATTTTCAGAATTTTCTGGTCTTGTCTTCATGACAAAAATACTATTTCTCTGCATCAAAAAATGCCAATCAATCAACGCAATGAAATGTTAATCGGAGAGTAATTTATACATATCCAGTCTTAATACAAGTGAACGGAAGTTTTCAGAATTTTCCGTTTACGTTTTCATGACAAAAACACTGATGTAATGCAAGAAAAGGCGATCCCGAAAAACCCGGAAGTAGATACCGGCACATTTTAAGATACCGACACATTTTCGGACACATTTGCAGAGTGTTCTAGTTTGGAAGTTGCCAGCCTAACTGTTGCTAGCATAGCCACGGGAAAGCCTTTGGGAACTATTTTATTTTCTGTCATGAAATAAACCTTTTGGTATTCCTAAAAGTGGACTGAAGTTTATGTTGTGTGTTCTGTTGGTATAAAGCCGTATAATAAGCGGGATAACGTATATTACGCAGGTCATTATCGGAAAATAAGTGCCTTCAGGGCGGAAGCGGATCTGCTTCGCCCTGTCGGTACTTATATTTTCCGATAATGACCTGCGTAATATACGTTATCCCTTACTTAATATCTATTGTTCTAAACCATTTTATTTTTTGAAAAGTCGTTGTTTAAGGCCTTCATGGTCAGAGCGTTTCGCTGACTTCAGCCGCCTTTTTCCAAAAACAGCCCAATAACATGACGCTTCCACCCCCATACTTGACACTGGGGTTGATAAGCAGTGATCGTTTTGAGCCATGCATAACATCCTGTATTTACAGTATTCCAATGAATAATGTAAACCGCTTTTGTGGTTTCACGGCTAAGCTAGACTCAGAGGCTCTCCACCAGCTTCTGTTTCTCAGGCCTAATAATAATGAACACATAATAATAATTTATGTGACGCGCTTTTCATAACACTCTAATTTTTTTTCTTTTTATGCCACTTTGCATGGCATCATCCGTTTGCTGAGGTAGTGTGCCCCTCTGACCACAACCAATCATTCACGCACACACCAGACACATGTGAGGCAAATGTCTTGCCTAAGGACACAACAACAGCTTAGCACTTTACAGCCATCTCACTGTGGCACCTGGTGTTCCCAGAAGTCTCCCATCACAGCACTAACCAGGCCCTGCCCTGCTTTGCTTCAGAGGTTTAACAGGGCTTGCATATGAAAGCCAGATCCCTTCTGAACTCTGAAGCTGTGCAGGGTAGGACGTGGTTAGCACTGTGATGGGAGACCTCTG